ACATCTCTTTTTATTAATTTTTCAAACATGGATACATTTGGAAAGAGACAGGTCACTACAGAAGGGTAATTTTTACAAAACTAAGGGTAATTTTACCAAACTGACTACACTAAAGGTGCTCTGCAAGGTTCGCTAATAAATAAGTCTAATTAAAGCTACAGTTTACAACTACAAATAAAGCTACAATTACAGTTACCACTATAACAAAAGCTACAGCTACAACAACATCTACAACTACAGCTAAAACTACAGCTACAATTAAACAACTACATTAAGATGATAAGAGGTTGCTGTCTTCGAGGTGTTCCGAGCAACCTCTATCGGCGTCTGAGTCTTCCACGAGGAAGGATGTGCAGGTGGAGCCAGGTTTTGCCTCAAAGATTTGGTCACCGTTGTAACTAGAAGGTGCAGGACAAGGCCACAGCAAGATGTGTCTGCACAATGAAGTCATGTGCTGCAGCATCTTCCTTCCGCAGGAGCAGGAAAGCAGCTTCAGGACTGCCAGTGACAAGGGAAACAATTGTGCAGAGTTCACGTGGCTGTCATCGAATGTGATCCCCAGCACAGCTCTGTGCAGGGAACTCCTCTCAGTGGCTGGAGAGCATCGTCCAGAGGCGAAATCGCAGCTGGCCATATGTTTGCATCAGCTCCCTGTGGGTGGCTGGATCTCGGGCCAGGTGCTCGAAGAGGTTGAGCGGCTCAACCCTTCGCGTTGCTGGCGACACGCTGATCTCTGCGGGAAGCCTCTCACTGCCTTGCACAAAGTGCTCCAGGCGTTTCAACTGCAGGCAGCGGTGCAGGTAGGCCATGACGTCCCACAGCCGCCGTTCAAATTCCCTCCTGCGCCACTGGGACAGCGGTACTGTGGTCAGCACGTGCATGACCACCGTCTTCCAGGTGTAGCTGGAAAACCCTGTGCCCCTCAGGATGCAGGTGAAGACCTGCAGGCATTTCAGGTGCAAGCTGTGACAGGGCAGCTGCCTGGCGATGTGCTGGAAGAATTTCGCCTCTGCCACAGCGTATGTCTCAGGCCACGCTGTGCTTGTGATGAGCTTGGCCTCGGCAGGCTGACTGTTCATAAAGTTGATGGAGCCACCTCTCTGAGCCTCTGTGGGCTGGCTGATGACAAAGATGTCGGAGTCCCCTTGGCGCACTCCAAAGAGCATCTCCACCATCAGGCTCTTCTTGCCTTTGGTAAGCTGGAATTGGCAGGACCGGCTGCAGGGCTGAAACACCAAGTGCCATGAGTAGGACTGAGGCACGTGCAGCCAGGAGCATCTCACCAGCTGGTGGAACCAGTGGGAGGTCTTCTCCACGTCCAGGTAGGAGCCGGTGCAGAGTGTCTCTAGGAGGCTGCGCTTCTGCTTCCGCCACAGCTCCTCCTGCGAGTGGTGCAGGAAGCACAACAGCTTCTCGCCCAGCTGCTCCCTCTGGCATGTGCACACCAGCTCCACGCGGACGCTGAAGGTCCTTGCTGCCATCTGCCCTGCACTGTTCAGTTCTAGGTGGAAGGCATGGCCTGGCGGGGGATTCAGCGGGACCAGCACACGGTACACGCCATCCCACTCGCGGGGACTCCAACCCTCAAAGGCACTGCCCACTCCAATGGCTTCTTGAGGCACTGGGTAGAAGCTATTGCTCACGCTGTCCACAAAGACACGCGTGAAACTCTCCATCAGCTCAGCTGTCACTGAGCAACCTTGCTCCAGCTCCTCCACAGGCCACTCTATGTGATCTACAAAAAGGATGGCTCCCTCATTCCCAGCATCTTGGGTGTCTTCTCCGTCTTCTGTTCCCCCATTCCCAGCATCTTGGGTGTCTTCTCCATCTTCTGTTCCCCCATTCCCAGCATCTTGGGTGTCTTCTCCATCTTCTGTTCCAGCACTGCTGCTTTCTTCCTTGTCACCGTCACTGTCTTCTTTTTCACTGGCAGGCGTGTTACCTTGTTCATCTTCTTTTCTCTCCTCCTTCTTGTTTTCCTCCACATTTGTATCACATTGCTCTTCAACCTTGTTTCTATCACTTTCATCTTCTTCTATAACTTCCTTCTTTTCTTCCTCACTTTCAGCAAAGGAACTGTGGGCTTCTTCATTCCCACGTTCACCCTCTGTTCACTGGCATCACTGCTTTCCTGCACCTTCACATCCGTGTATACTTCCTGTCCATTTACGTTGTCCTCACCTTCATTTGCATCATCAGTGTTGCCTGCCTTCATGTTTGCGCCATTGGTGTTTTCTTCATTTCCATCTTCTTCTTCCTTTCCAGCGTCCTTGTCTTGCTCCACCTGTAAATCCCTGTTTTCTCCTTCATCTGATTCATCCACCTCTTCGGTCTTTCCTGCAACGTTGCCAGGTTTTTCTTCAGTTTCTTCATCAGTATTATCTCCTGGCATATTCCCATCATTCCATCCTTCATCGTTCTTTAACTCATGGCCATTGTCACTGTAAACATTGCTGTCTTGCTCCACCTGTACATCCTTGTTT